GCATCCAGGAACAACAAAACCTCTAAACCCTCCTTTATATTCCAAAGGTGTAAATATGTCCTGAGGTTAAATAGGCTTATGGTTTGAGGATTCGTCTTCTATAGAAAATGAAAAAGAATCAACATTTCTTTTTATCTTTCAGAGTAAAAATACCTGAACACCAAAGGTTGGCTCTTGAGCCTTTAAACAAATGTAGAACCTCATAAATCCTGGCATACTAGATCAATTCTCATGAACATAAGTCTTCAAACTTTTGTCTTTCTTCAGATTACTTCAATGCAAGAGCTAAAATGTCCTGTACAATACATTATTTGCAGTGCCATTCAGACCTGCAGCCTCACGCATAACTTACAGGGGTCCATGAGGAAAATTAACCCTTCCTGAGTGCAGCTCTAAAGTCCTTCTAGAATCTTAACAGACTACTTGCAAAGAAGATGAGCCAACAACTGTGCTTATCTTATGAAAAAGCATTCCCTATTTACCAGGAATAGTTGTAAGGAAACCAAGAAGCAGATTTTTCCTCCATTAAATAAAGTTTGAAGGTTCTTTCCATTAGTAGATATAAACTAGTGCACTTTTTAAAGATGCGTCTATTATTGTCCACAACAAAGATACCAGATAAAATGTATTTTAAAACCAGTTTTCTGGACTGTGGATATGCATATCCTGTGAATTTTTCAGGATGCGAGGAAGAGGATGGAGAGAAGTGAGGAAAAAAATTTATTGTAGAACCTAGACCCTACCTAGGTTGTAAAACTTTCCTAGCGTAAAAACCTCCACCAAACAAAAATCCCCATCCAAGCAAAAAACACCACCACCACTGCAGTAGAACAGCATTTTCTGCCATTGCTGAAGTGGGAAAAATTGCAGTGTACAGCAGTCCTGAGGTTATGATGAAAAAGTTGAAGAGCAGGTCAGTTATGCTGCCAACAACCACAGCCCCAGCTACTAGTCGGGTGGTGAGGCAGAACTGAAACAGTTCCAAGTATTTACACCATGTACTCATGGACTGAACATGGTGAGTGGGGGCAAGACAGGACATACGTGTGCTCAGTAAGAACAAGGGAAAGAAAATATACTTAGTCCCAAATGACTGGCATGCTAAAGACATTCAAGGTCAGAATCTTAACTTTTTGCCAAAAGGAGAGGACCACTAACATGCTGCAAGGTTTACAGTCAACTACGAAACATAAAGAAGATGGAAAACAACCATGCTAAGTGATGACAGAAAGCTAACTTAATAGTAATCCACAGTTCAGATTTCAGGACTTCTCATGGTTTAAATAAATGTAAAATAAGGAGGCCTCTGATATCAATAAAAGTCCAATTCGACTGGCAGATGAAAGCTCAGGACTCTATTCCTGACTCTCCTAGAAAATTGGTATAATTCTGTACTCTGCCATTGCTGAGGTGGGAAATGACTTTTCTGGTGTCCAAAATGAGCCTAGTAAAATTCTGCTGCCTCTCAAAAGTACTATGACAAATTCAGAAAGATTTGAAGGTGCTGTCATATGTAAACAGATTCAAGAGCATGTATTGCCTTTACCCAAGCACAAACCATCACATTATGTCAGAAAACAGAAATATTAAAAAAGTTAAATCTCTGCTGATTGCTTCCCTGCAGTTTAATTAGTGAGGAACGGCAGTAAGGCATCATAGAATTTCCATTTTACTTTTACTGTTCCCCTCAGTCTGTATTTTATGCCTGCATTTTTATTTCTAGGTTCCAGGGACACATACAAACCATTCAAACTTTGTTCTTTTGTTTTCTATCATGAGAAATCCTGGACACAAATAAAATCTTATAATGGACCACTATTATTCCTCTACTCCCCTTCTCTTTCATAAAAAATAAACACGTTGTACTCAGGTAATGATATACAGATGCTCTGGTTTACTTAAAGATAACTCTGCAATCCAGGTTACTTGTGTAAGAAGCAACACGGATATGTGATACCAGTACTCAGAAAGGAGACTTGAAACATTACCATTAGCATGGTCTTTCCAGTCTTCTCTGCTTAACTGGAATTTGAATTTTGCTCAAAGTTCTTCCCACTACAGCTATTATTTGGCACAGAAAAGACCAAAATCCTAACAGCAGCCTTTATCTTACACGAATTAGCACGTCGTATTTCTCTCACGTGTCTGAAAATTCACTACTAGGTATTAACACTTCTATTTTACCACAACTGTGGCTTTCAGTGAAGAGACCTCAAATATCCAGGTATTATTTTCTTTGGCAATTTCTTAGTAATGTATTTAGAAACTTAGATAAACCTGTCCCAGATGATAAAGCTATCTAGGATCAAGGCCACAGGGTGCAACATGTTGGCTGTGGATAACAGATGCTACTTGCATCCTCTGTGTGTCTCGTGGCCATACAAAGAACTTCCCATATTCTTACCGTGAGGTCCAGAAAGATTCCCACGAGACTCGCAAAGGTAAAACACAGGCTTCGAGGATTCTGTGGACAGAAGTGAACAGCTGAACCCCAGACCACAAGAGAAACCACCTATTTTCAGCATACTGTATAAACCCATGCCAAGTGTGTCCTAGGAGTTTCCTGAAGATTATATAAAGAAAAAATAAGAGAAGAAACAAAAAAATTAACAGGTTTGAAAAGAGAACTTAAGAAAGCTAAGGACTGAAAACTTATTACCACCACATCTATATTCTGCTGCATGGGCAAAGTCATACAGGGTGAGCAGATATCCCAGACTGACCAGGACAGACACAAAATGGAAACCTTTTTAACCCCTTCCTCATAAACTGCCACCCTGGAAAAGAGCCATAAGAGTCTCACACAAATCCTGGAATGTTACTTACAACCAAGTTTTCCTTTCAAAAATGATTTATTTTCACCCTACCATGCAAACATATCCAGGCATCAGAACAAGAGGACAAGCCAAACTGCTCTTCAGATTCAGTTAGGCAAAGAAGTCATGGTTTCAAGTTCCTGTAGTGTTCAGTCGTCCAAAATTAGAGTGGATACATAAACTATCATTGTAAGAATTCTGGAAAGTGGTGAGTACCAGAAATAAGTCTGCAGTTGTCTTATTGTTTTATACTCTTCACTCATTTCCATTCTCCATGGAACTCTTGGGTTCCATGACTCCCACAAGTCACAGAGCTAACATTTAGTCTTTCAACACTGGAAATTGTTTATGGTTTCTTAACACCAAGAATTGTGCAACAAACTAAGCAAGCTAGTAACCATAGCAACTGTGGTCGAGAAAAAACAAGTTTCAGCTATGAAACTGCACTGTATTTTTAATTCTTGCAAATGCTGTTCTTTCACATTCTACATATGAAAAATTCATTAAACATGTACAGTAACTAATGTATATATCTACTGTGTACTAAAAGACACTTCTTACTACTGTGCTGTATTAAGTACTCAATTTCTCTCCTCTCTTTTTCTCTCTCCCTTTATCAGAGTACTACACTTCTTTTTGCTTATGAACACCCGCATAAAAAAATTAAAAAGTTGCTTCAATGGAGGAGAAAAACTCTGTCTAGTTATTTTTATGTGAGTAGATTCTAAGAGTCAGCTATATTTACTGTCCTATTAACAAACAGCTTTGGTAGCATACTGTCTTTGAACTGGCTCTGAAGCACTCCAATTTTGCTGATTCTAAGAACTTTGCTAGGAAGGCATTAAATAACAAGCCCATGAACACGTCTGATTATACAAGCTATAGCACGCATTACTATATAATGCAGTTACAGCAGTTAAAGGAAGCAGGACTGAACCACTGTTTGGAACTGAAATGATTTTAGGTACCCATATCCCATGCAGGGCATGGATCCACATACCCAAAGACAGTTATTACATCAAGCCCTGTACAATCTGACAGAGACACTTGGCTTGTAACTATTGTTTCTTAGTGATGGTAAGCAATTATACTCATATTAATGAATACAAGATAGAAACACTGAAAAGTTTTCCACTCAACTACCTATTTCATCCCAATTTTGGTATTTTATGAAGACGTGAGGGATAAAACTTTCAGGAAGATCTCAAAACTATATGAAAATTTTAAATTAATCTATTTGGATTATTTGAGGACTTTAACAGACAAAATGATTTGAAATAACTGGTACCTTTGCTACATATTCAACACTGTGAATACATCTAAATGAAGAAGGCTACACTTCTTGTCCTGTCTTATACTTACAAGTATCTTTCTGTAAAAACCTTTTACATTCCAAAAATTTCAGAAAGCAGAGTGATGTATTTTTTTTCTTTTAAAACAGGAAGAACCTAAATCAAAAAAACTGTTCCCAAAGATTCAGCAAAATATCATGAAGCTACACAGGCTTTGGCAGCGTCTTATTTTGTTTTGGGAAGCTTTTTGGTTAAACGAATAATTTTTCTAATAGATAAAGATATATGCACACAAATTTCCAGTACTTCTGTAACACTCTGATGAGTAAATTTTAATTCAATCAAATAACACACCAATTTAACAGAATCCAAAACTCTACAGATCACGTCTCCAGTCCTCTAAGCATGAGACATCCATGCAATGAAAAAATAAAGAGCCTAGATAGTCAGTTTTTCTCTGTTGACTCTGGCATAGAAAAGCATCCTCTTGATTTGGATAACAAAAGCCACAACCACATGTTCCCGCTGGAGGCATCTGGTTGGAGATGCACTAGGACAGAAACAAAGCTGAGCAGAACTACCAGCACATGTCAACTGCCACAAACAGCGGGATTACCACTTTGGACTAGCAGGAGGTGGCCGCATCTCTGCAGCTCACAGCACTTTCTTTAGAAATGTCTGCTTTGGCAATTCCCTTTATCACATGTATTTTTATACTTGATGCTTATTTATTCTTGTATTAATAACAATATTGTTTTAATTCATTCTTTTTAATTCAATCTTTAACCAATTTAAAGTTAATTCAAGCACTTTAACCAAAACAACATGGATGTAACCTTTCTATCAAGTGAAGAAACAAAATACCGCAATAAATAGAAATTTGGACACAAACCCAACATGTCAATTTATTTTTTATTCTCCTTGTACTACCAGAGTCTAGTTTGAACAATTCTTCCTCAAAAACATGCAGATTTCACTGGACAGTACAAGTATTTGCTACAATAACATTCAGGTATGTTACTTAGATGACATAAAAATCTTCAAACACTGTACTTTAGAAATAAAGAAGCTGGCGTACAGCTCTGACAAGATTCCAAAAAGTATGCATTATTTTTAAAACAGCAAACACTGCTTATTTTTCTTTCCATAATCAAATTATAAACACTGTACCAAGGAAAGATCACGCACAGCAACAGATACTCTGTAAGTTCAGACATCACATTCACACTTTATCCTTACAATATTTAAACATTGCTCAGGTGGTCATATCTATTTAGACCAGTGACTGTAACATTATGTACCTATAATAAATAATGGATTCACTAAATCAATTATAAGGTATTACCTTATAAATAACTGCCAATCCTAATGACACATCAAGACAATGTTCCTTACAAACCTTATCACCACTCTACCCAAAGTTCACAAAGTCAACAGCAATTACTGAACATACAGAGAGTAAAAGCATACGTATAGCCAAACAGGTATCTTAACACTCAAATTTCAACATATGTAATATATGTTGCACACATTAATCCACTAGTTAACGCAAAGTTTGATAAGGGTGTCACAGGTTGTGATATCTAATCTTCTGGCATCTCTTACATCAAATGGCAAAGATGCACAGTCTTAACTTTACTTGCAAGTATGCAGACTTAACTGGAATGTTTAGAAGGGATAAGTAATACATATCCCAACAGAAAAATAAAATCACATCACAATTTTAATAATTAAATCATACTGACTTCTGTAACATCTGCCCCTGACCAAACCTTTGCACAGTGTCTTAACAAAGAACTGGTTTTCCATGCTGACAAGTACTGCTTTTATATGTGGGGAAGGTCTGAAGTAATTTGCTTCTTGAAAAAATTACTGCTTCTCTCCAAGAAAGTGACTGAAAATAATCTAGACCTTCTATTACAATATTGAAAGCTTGAACTACAGAGCTTAACGTAACCACGCACTGACAAAGAATTCCAAGCAAGCTACAATTCATGGGCACACTCTGTTTTAACCTGGTTGCTTTTTACAGGATACTCTCTCTTTCTTCTCCAAAACCAGCCCCTTCTGAGGCCGTAACAGTGTGGAGCTCTGATGAATCTTTTGAAAGCCTGGTATAACTTGAACGCTGGCTCCGCTTGTGAGCAACGCTCTTCAGGTTCTCATTCTGAACTGCAGTTGAATTGGAACCTGAGCCAGGGTGCAGGATAATTTGAGGGGAATCTCTGATACTTTGTATTTCTTCAAAATTTTGATTAGCTCGATTGTTTGGAGCGCTGTTATTATTTAGGGTTACTGTACTAGGGGTTCTATTTAAATTATAGACTTTCTGGCAAGCTGGCCAGTTCTCTTCTGGGCTACTTGCTATCAAGCTGCTTTCAGAAGGGCTTTTCTTATCTTCTGAGCAAATAGACATGCGAACCACAGCTGGATCTTGAAGGCCACTAAGGCTGTGTGGAATTCCTCTCTTTCCACTGTGACTGTCATCTTCAAGTTCAATGAGATTCGCCTTTTCAAGCTGTGAATCATCTGCTCCTTCATTATGGAGGGAATGATTGGGAGAACTTTCGTTGGATCTTACACCAGAGTCAGATGAATCTTTTTTATCCAAAAGGGCATCTGTCAAATACTCCTTTGCTTTGATGAAGGTTCTAATGGTTTCAGATCCATGTTCTGGAGATTTAGGCTGCTTCTCTATTTTGCCATCTGCTTTCTTATCTTTACCTTCCTTAAGAAGTGGTGTATTATCCGATTCTTCAGTTCCTGACTCATCTTCATCACTTGGAAGTTTCTGATACCGCAGGGTAACTCCCTTAAGCTTTAAATCTGCAGCCTGGAAAATACTTGTTCTTTCCGAAGACTTCTTTCCTGGCAGAAGCTTGGAACCAGACTGATCAGATTTTTCATCTTCTTCCGTAATAGGATCCAAAGGAGATGCATCATTAGTAGAAACACCTGAAGTACTGTAATCGACAACATCGTTCCTCTTCAGCAAGAAGGACTTTCTTCCATCATCTTGTTTCTGTTCACCATCTTTTCCTTTTTCCTGTTCTGCACTGGAATGCAAGGAACCCCCTGATGTACTCTGCCCCATATAGAAAGCACTTGAGCTATGAGGGGAGGACCTACCACTTACTGTAGTAGAATTGGCGCCTCCTTCTAACTGTGACATTTGAGCAATATACTCTCTATATGCATCTCTGTATTCTGCCTGTACCTTGTCAGTAAGCTTTGATATCTCAATACTAGAATCTTGAGAGTTAAGACTTGAAAGACTTGGAGTTCTACGAGTTTGTGACTGGAAAAAAACAAAAGAAAAGAGAGATAACAGTTAAATGAACTACTTATTTTTACTTTTACTGATCTTTTTAAATTAAATAACTCAAAACATCAAGTATGTACTTAAATGATTTTTTTTGTTGGTAGTGTGAATAGATTATGCAAGTGCAATTGTCAATGCTATAATTAAAATACGCTTACTATAATCATATATATGCAATCACACACACATTCACTAAACTTACAAACTATTCTTATTGTTGGTCCCCATAACAGAAGATTTCCACAAAACAAGCATTTTATCTAGTGCATTTGAGGCTAACTCTTTTGAGTATATAATTAAAACAATTGAATTTGTATGTCAAGATGGGCTTTTCCAATACGTTTTTGTACATTTACGAAATTACCATTTTATATTAGAAAGACAGCAAGAGTTCATCTAAATGCTGAACATCTCTCAAAAAGATTTTTCAAAGACCCCCATCCTACATACTTCAATATATCCTGGCAAAATTCCATTGCATATAGCTGATTTCAGAAAAATCACTTCTAGGACAAACATAATTTCTCTTTGTCCCCACATCTGCTCTCTTTTAGTGCACGCATAGAGAACTCCACAGGCGTAGGATGCTAGGCCATCTATGAAATGCCAGAACCAAGGTCTAGCACAGAGCTGAACAAAGTAAAGGAGAGGACTGTGGCTGAACATACGGCTTTGTGTCATGCATATATACGGCTGCTCACTACCACCAAGTAAAAGATGTACGGTGCCCAGTGCACTGCAGCTGAAGCATTGACTTGAGCAGTAAGCACTTTAGGAAACTTACTCAACTTTGCAGTGCACAAGAGATGAGATTCTGAAAGACTGTTGACGTATTGTGTCTTATTTGGGGCAACTCTGAAAATGAACTACATTTCCATAACCTACATTCTACTAGAAAACACTATTAAAAAAAATGAAAAGGGCTTGGGTAATTTTAACAAGCTAAATGTAAACAGGAAAATTAATGTGTGGATTCAAACACTGAATGAATTTAAGATTTACAACAGAATTGCTTAATCATATAGATACAACCCTCTTGGTCCATCCTTCCCTTTCTCATCCTCTGTTTTTCTTTTCTCCTCCCCCCCCCCCCCCAGCTTTTTCCTGCTCTTATATGCATCCTTCTAATCTTTCTTGTTTCTGTTCATCATCTTTTCCTTTTTCTTGTTCTGCACTCGAATGCAATGCAAACCAACACGTTTCTTTCCTTCTCTGATGCTCATAATCCCTCCAGCATGCAACATACATGAGGTCTGCAGGTTACCATTCCATCATTCTCTCCGCATCACTAAATACGTATTACTGACAGCTTTTCATAAGATCAATAATGTTGTATATACACTAGGATATTGGGGAACAGCTAAACACAAATAACTAAAGGAAAACAGTGTTTAAATGACTTCTATCTGCCATGACTCCTAAGCAACTCAATGCCCACAGCAAAATGCAAGAATCTCAGAAATATTAACACTTGATTATTTATGCATATTCACTACGATTTATCCACACTCCCAGCAGCTATGGTTCCTCACCAAAAAGAGAAATAGATTTTGTTGTGCATTTCTAGTAGTACTCCTTTTTACAGATGTATTAGGTTTGCATGGAAAGCTTTTGGTAGCAGAGGGGCTGCAGAGGTGGTTTCTGTGAGAAGTTGCCAGAAGCTTCCCCCATGTCCGATGCAGACAATGCCAGCCGGCTCCAAGACGGGAGCCAATGCCAGACGGCTCCAAGATGGACCCGCCACTGGCCAGGGCCCAGCCCATGAGCCACGGGGGGTAGCGCCTCAGGGATAACAGAGTTAAGAAGGGGAAAATA